TTATTTGCCCTCTTTATTTAGATGTTGGTGGTATTGGTTAAAAATAGCCTTGTCTCATGGCTTCTGTGACATCTGATTCTGGCTGATTGCTTTCTTTGGTTATTGCTTATTCATGACTGCAAATTTGAAAATTAATGAGGTTCTATAGAAGAGAGAGTGGCAAAGCTTTAAAAAGATGGTAGTTTTGATGCTGAATTCAGAATGTGAAGTGTCAGGATGATTTTCTTTGGGAAACTGTATTGACCTATGAAGACTAAGGCTACAATTTAGTTAAGTGAATGAGACAAAACAGAGCTTGGAAGGGAAACAAGAGAACTGTATACTTTTATGAGAATTCTGGGGGATGTTTGGCTAAGATGTGAATGCCAGCAGATGGATGCAGGTCAGAGTTCAGACATAGGTCAGGCATTCCTGGCTTTAAGAGAGAACACATTTTTATTTGGGGGTGCCAGCAATGAAAACCTAAGTGAGTCTTTTTTGACACTTTCCTAATTTATAACTTTTAAATTATAGGGCATTTTAGAATGTTATGTCTCCTTGGATCCTCTACTAGACCTAACGCCCAGCAAGGAATAGAATATGTTCACTTTAATTACTATTGCATACCTAGCCTGATACACCTGAGGTGCTTGAATCGTTTTTGGGTAAATGGATAAATGAGTACACTTATGGGAAATGCAAAAAACCTGGGAAGTGCTCAGACAGGAGTAATGAAGGTAAATTAAGAGGAGAAACTAGAGTCTGAGAACTTCCCATTTGTAGAAAAAGAAGTAGCATTTTGGTTTGATAATATTGCTCTAGGAAATCTGGTTTAGAATTTCCAATGTCTACATACGGAAAAGGGACCTTATATCAAGGAGAAAGAGATCATCCTCAAATGTAAGAAGGAAACCTGCATGATAGAGTGGAACATGACTATAGGGCAAATAATGTATTTTTTTAATCTTTCAAATCTTTTAAGACCATTTGGGATATTTAGGGGGCCACAATTCTTGGATGAATGGATTAGATGATTCCTGGTAGTAAATACAAATTTTTTTTTATTAACAAATCATACATGTTGACTAGAGTTACTGTGGTGATCATTTTGCAATGTATAAAAATGTTAAATCATTGTGTTATATACCTGAAATTAATATAATGTTAAATGTTACATCTCAATTAAAAAAAATAAACATCATATATATTTTAAAACGTGACTTTAGCAGTATCTCATTGAATTTTAAACTTGCAAAATTTGCCTAGATGTGATCTGGTTTGTCTTGGTGGAATTGTGATTTCCACCCTACACTTGAATTGCCTCTTGTTTAGGTCCATCTCCACTTCCTTCTTCACTGGATAGAGTTGCAGTGTATGGAAACATGATTTTTAGTAAAAGTGGCCCTTATTTTTAAATACAACTTTAATTTTATCATGTACAGGTCAGGTATATACAGATAAAGCAGAAAATATTCTGTAATTCACTCAAAAGATATAAATGATTATTGAACCTGCATGGTGATCAGTTTCTCTCTTTTTGTCCATCAAGGAGGGGAAAGGAGGACATTAAGTCAGGGAGGGATCAGAATTCAAAATAATGTTTTATTGATGGTAAAGGTTGTAAATGCTGGAGTATACTGATCAGCAAAGGCATAACATACTTGAAGAGCTCTTTACTAATAGGACAGGTTCTCAAGTTTAAAATCATTTGTGTGCTTCTTTTCGTAATAATAATTTTAAATGACCTCCTCAATGCCAGTCACTATGCTTGTTGCTTTATCTTTATCATTTCAAAATGATCTTGAAAAGTTTGCGAGAGAATTAGTGGATTAAATACTTTAAAAATTATTTTTAAATCTAAAGTGGCTTCTTTTATATAGTTTCTTTCTTCTAGGTCCTCACCTTCTCCCTCCCAGGTGTACAGCTTCCATTGTAAGCATCTCAAATTGCTTTCCGCTGTGGAATTCAAAGATGAGATTGTTGTTTTTCGCAAGAATGTACAATGAGTACAGCCTGCTTCTTACATTTATAATTCCTAGAAGAGGTGGAGTTCTTCTCATTTGTCTGGCTTCTAGCTAAGCATTATGGGGGTGGGGGAGAGAGCCAGAGAGACTTGGTCACCTTTCCTTCAAACTGCTTTGATACTGCAAGCAATGTGGAAGACCATGATGCCGTGTGTGGGAAGGAATTTACAATACTTGTTTAATGCCTCACAGGAAGTACATGTTTTTGTGGCTATTGTATCTGAACTACATGTTTCAGGTCAAAGGGTGTGGAGGGATTGTAAATGCCAATCTTCATCACATGTCTAAGTATAGCACATCAAGTGGGAGAATTTAAAATTTCCTCCAGATGGTGGGTGATCCACTTGGGCAACACGTGGAAGTGAGGATCCCGTCTGACAAGTCCCATCACAACACATTCTGTAGTGCTCCACGTGGTGGGAAAATCCGGTGTCTTCCCTTCTCTTATCCTGCCTTCATTTAGAAAGTCTTATCAATCAGTGTAGGATTATGAATGTCTTAGCCAAGAAGCACTGTGGGTAGATGTAGACATTCTATGCAGAAGGCAAATATGACCATGAACATAGCACAGTTGCTTTTCCTTTTATTTATTAAGTTGTCAGGACAGGTAGACATTAGATATATCTAGACATTGAATATCTTAAGAACTAAATTGTTTAGGGACCTGCCAGTTGGGGGAGCCATCTTTTTCTCAAGTGTGTCAGGACGTGGTACCTTGGACTAGGAAGCCCATTTCAGCCTTGAATCTTTCCATTTGTTAGAAAACTTCACAAAGGGTTGCAACATTGTTCTTTTAGTTTCCATTCTTCTGTGATATGTTTGCCCTCTGGAGATAGAAACAATAAATCTAGTCTCATTTAACCCCAGCTTTTATATATATATTTTTTGGGGAAAAAAACAGACCATGTTTTACCCATGTCTTGTTTTTCTCCCTAAATATCCAAAGTAACCTCATTCACTATAAAGTTTTCCAAGCCCTCTTTGGGAAAGATTCTATTTGAAATTTAGAAATAGGGAGTAGACATGATATTCTGGGACATGGTCTGAGCAGTGCTACCACTGGTAGAAAGCAGTTACGTTAATTGTTTAGAAGCCAGTCACCTTTTTGACTTAAAACTGAACTCTGATTCATCTGGGCATGTGTAATTCTATTTGTACTAGGATTCTTGAATATTTTGTTAACTTAAAAGTAATTTGATATGCTGCCTTGATACATAAAGGTCATAGGATTTCATTGGAACCACCGTCTGTGTTAGACCAACCCATGATTTTATATTTAGCAGCAATGAAATGTTTCTTGACAAGGAAAGATTGCCTTGTGTGCTCCCCTCATGCACACATGCACAGTAATTCAATAGGTATTTATTGATTATGTGTTATTTACCAAACTGTGTAGTGAACTATTAATAGAGATTTGTGTAAGATAAAGTTTACAGTTTAGTGGGAGAGGCAAATTCTTGTACAGATGATTTCAGTACCTTTTTCTTACTCATAAAATGCAGTCCTGAGAATTAGCCATGAACTTACTTTAACCTTTTGGAAAGCTTCGAATTTGTTTTTTTCCATTCTCTGAAACTAAAAAGAACACAAAGCCAATAATCTATACCATTTTGTGTTGCTTCTAAAAACATCCTCTTCACCTTTTAAGAGGCATATCTGAGTTCCATCTGAAGGTATTGGACAGATTCACTCTAACTATATTCTATGCTAACTGATAAAATAAAGATTATAGCACCTTTTTACAATTAGGCAGCAGCCTTCAAAACATTTTCTCATTTGGTTCTCATAACAATCTAAAATTACAACAGCCAAACTATGGAAAGATCCCAGATGTCCATCAACAGATGAGTGGATACAGAAGATGTGGTATATACATACAGTGGAATACTACTCAGCCATTAAAAATGAAATCTTGCTATTTGCAACAATGTGGATGGAACTAGAGGATTTTAGCTAAGCAAAATAGGTCAATCAGAGAAAGACAATTATCATATGAACTCACTCATATGTGGAATTTAAGAAACAAAATAGAGGATCATGGGGAAGAGAGGAAAAAATAAAACAAGATGAAATCAGAGAGGGAGACAAACCATAAGAGATTCTTAATCATAGGAAACAAACTGATGGCTCCTGGAGGGGAGGTGAGTGGGGGAATGGGCTAACTGGGTGTAATGAGCACTGGGTAATATATAAGACTGATTAATCACTGAATTCTACTTCTGAAATCAATAATACATTATATGTTAATTGCATTTAAATAATTTTTACAAAAAATATAAAATTACATTATTCCTAACTAATGACAGGGATAATACTGAGAGGATCTTTCCATACAACAGATATATAGTCTCTGGAAAGACACCTTTTAATACACCTTTTTCTCTGTAGATATTAATCACTGTCTTTTCCATTAATCCAAAATTGGCCTGTTGGCAGAACTGGGTACTCCCATAAACTTGGGTGGCTCACACAGTGTTGAAAAATAAAAACCTGAGACCCACTTCCCATTTGAAGATGCTTCCTGAGCTGGCCACAGGAGCTGGCTTCTGGTCCTGCTGCTACTTTGGATAGGTGTTCTGTCTCCAGTTTATTACAGCCCACACTTGTCATAAATGCACAAATGCTAGGCTTTCTTGACCCATGGGGAGTTCCTGAAAAATAGGCACAACATCTTCATAGTTTTTAGCACTCAGGCAGTTTTTATGTTTCATGCATAATGATTGTAGAACTCAACTACTTCATTTTAACAAAGGAGGAAAAACTAACCAGAGGCAATTCTTATGTTTACTAAAATGACCAATTAAATAGATTTATATCACAAAATATAGCTATAATGCATTCATAATTTAGGGTCTTCATGAAACTTCGTTACTTTTAGTTTTAGGATTCTTTTAGATTAAAAATAACCTGGCACTCAAAAATTGTTTTGACCTTGTTTGCATTATATGTAACACACATCCATTTTATGACCTAATCTGATTAATATATCTGTTCTAGGTCACTGAAATGTTTCTGGAAATGTCTCTTGAAGTTTGGTAAGTGCATTATATTTCATTGGTTGAAAATACTGTGAGTGATCTGCTGACTTATTTTAATTGTTAAAGGGTAAACTTTTAGAATATGAAATAATTCTGACAGCTTTGAACATAAAAAACACATTATACTTTTCTTTAACTCCTCCCTAATGATTACTGCACTAAAAACTAATAAATTGAATATCTTTACTTAATTTTCCTGTAGTTTGGTCTTTAAATAATAAAGTTTAGGGCTTAGAAGGTCAATAATAAGGGCTTTTAGAAAGAGTCCTCCTTCGGGTTCATTTCCCATAGAAATGAACAGATATAGTTATTTAAGCCTATTCTTCATTGTTGTTTCAGATATATATTCAAAAACATGAAAGTAAACTAAACAGGAAGCTATAAAAATGAAAAACTGAAAATTGAGACTGTTTTTGTTCATGGAGATCAGTAGGACTACAAATAGTAAAGTTCCATGAAGCATGTTGCTCTTTCAAAGTGGTCTCCAAAACAAATGTTGGAAAATCGTTTATTTTCAAATGGTGCATCTTAGGGGAGTCAAGCCTGCCTGGAGAATTAGCAGGATCTAACACTGAGTTCAGTACATCTCACCTCCCTCAAACTCTCTGGGTCTCCTTGAACTTCCCCTGTTGAACTGGGTTTTACCAAAGTAAATAGTACACATTTAATTTACCCAAATACATAACATTCTTCTTTCATGTGATTTGCCAAATGAATGAAGATGGCTGCATTGATATTGGTTAGTATTTCTTTCTCTTATTTTGTTTCCAGTAACATGTTGATTCAACTTAGCAAATTATTACGTAAATTACCACTGTCCCTCAAGATATGTCAGGAAGTATCAAAAGACAGTCCTAGTAATTGAGTTGTGTTATTCTGCATTGTATTGATTCTTGCTTAAAAGTGGTATATTTTAGCACGAGATTAGAAAAATTTTTATCTGACAAGGAAGTCATGCTGTTTGTCTTAATGGAAAATTATCTTCATTGCTGTAATTAGGACTAATTATGTAAAAGAAATTTGCTGTAACAAAGCATAGTTATCAAAAAATGTAGGAAAAAACTCAACCAAATAAGGTGCATGTGTCCAGAAGCAATTTACTGTATGTTTATAATGAACTTTAATCAAACTCTATTTTTATGTGTTTGTCTTGACGCTGAAATGGAAATGTTCTTTAAAGAAAAAACTTTCAATGGAATGTCTTCCATTAGATATAAAATAAAATCAAGAAAGAAAATTAGATAAAGGGAAAAGCAGAGAAAATGAGCGGGAAGTATCAGTGAGAGTGACAGAATAGGAGGGACTCCTAACTCTGGGAACCGAATAAGGAGTGGTGGAAGGGGAGGTGGGCGGGGGGATGGGGTGACTGGGTGATGGGCAATGAGGGGGGCACTTGACGGGATGAGCTCTGGGTGTTATGCTATATGTTGGCAAATACAAAAAAAAAAAAAAAGAAAGAAAATTAGAGATAATACACAAAAGAAGAAATAAATGAACCAAACTTCTCTTACTATATTTATAAAATTACTCAACATTTTAAAATTTTCTTTTACATATTTTTGCTAATATCTTTAAACATCTTTGTTCATTGCTCTGTTCACAGATTTTTTTTTAAATCATACTCCTTGTGCTTAATATAAGAGAGTGATCATCATAGTATATTATAAGGAGCATGAGTTCCAGAATAAGAAGCCCTGGTTTTAAATCTGCCTCTTGCTAATTATGTTAACAGTTGAAAGATTTTTAATCACTTTTTTTACTCATTTGTATAATAAGAAAACAATACATTATAAGCATATGGTGATGATTTAATGAGATGTTCTTTAGAAAAAGTATTATTTTATTTAATACGAAACAGAAAAATTTTCCACATGTGTAACACATATTCATAGTAAAACTGTTTGTAATAGTTTACAGAAATTAGAAGCAACCTCAATATGCATGGATAAATAAATTACACTATAATCATATAATGGAAATACTCCACAGTAGTAAAAATGTTTGAATTATTTCTATTTCTTTTTAATTTAATTTATTTATTCATGAGAGACACATAGAGAGAGGCAGAGACAGGAAGAGGGAGGAGAAGCAGGCTCCATGCAGAGAGCCCAATACGGGATTCAATCCCAGGACTCGTGGATCACGCCCTGAGCCAAAGGCAGACGCTCAACCGCTGAGCCACTCAGGCATCTCAGAATTTTTTCTATTTCTATATCTATTTATATGAATCTCAAAAACATAATGTTCCATGGAAAAGAAATTGCAGAATACATACAGTTGATAGCATTTATAAAAAAATTAAAAACATGTAAAATGACTCTATATATTACTTAGCGATGTAAATATATACTATAAAATTATAAATAAACACATTGGAATAGTAAAGAGCAAGTCTAAGGTAATGGTTACTCTAAGGAGCAGAAAAGGAAACACAATTGAGGTAGATTAACAGAGACAACTGTGCTAATGAGATTTTTATTTCTTAAAATGGTTAGAAGGTACTCAATCTAATATATTATAATAAATAATAGAGAGTTTACCCTAAGACTTGACTTAAAAAATCCTCATTCACTCTTACCTCTTTTCCTCCTTGTTACCTAAGCCTCAATAATCAAATTTAATAACTGTGTAATCCAATGTTTTAATATATACTGACCATTTTTTTAATTATTGGATGATATGGTTAAATGATCTTTTCAAAATTTACAGTTAATTTTTTAAAGATTTTTATTTATTTATTTACTTGAGAGAGACATAGAGAGAAAGAGAGAGCATGAGCAGGAGAAGCAGAGAGAGAAGCAGACTCCTCTTTGAGCAGGAAGCCCAACACGGGGGCTAAATCCAGAGCCTCAGAATCACAAACTGAGCGGAAGGCAGATGCTTGACTGACTGAGCCACCCAGGAGCCCTACAGTTAATTTTTTTAAAGTAGATGTCCAAAAATAGAGTTACTTAGTCAAAAAGAATACATTTTTATTATTTTTGGTGCTCATCACTAAAGCACTTCCAAAGTGTTTTTGCAGATTTATATTCCCAAAATGAACATATGATAACATTGTTACTTTGCCTTTCCCCCAAGTACTGGAAAATAGATACTTCAAATATTTCATAAAAATTATTAATAATACATCTGAAACTAATGATGTACTATTATTGGCTAATTGAGTTTAAATTTAAAAATTATTAACAATAGCAGTATTTTAAAAATTTGCTAATGAAGCTAAATATTCTACTGGTTTTCATTTTTAATCATATAATGCTCTTTTGTGAGTTATCCATATTTGTCCTTTGAGAAGTAGTAATTAAAATATTATTTGTAATGATCAAATATCATTACAGAGTACATAGCCCAGAGGCAATGAAGTCTCTTCTTTTGGTCTACATTTCACAAGGAAGAAATACACTGAATTAATAGAAATGATGCTTCAACTTAATTGATTCTGAAGGGAAGGACTTTTATGAATAGTAAGGAGGCAGTATTCTATTAGTGAAATTCTTGCTTCCTGTGTTTGGATTTATTCACATTACAACATAGATTTCTAGGTTTTCTTGTTCTGGTTTGTTTTTTTTACTATTTTTAAACTCAGTAGCTGGTTTTAGAGTTCAGTATTGGACCTGTCTCATTTGTGAGGCATTGCTGCTGCATTGTGGAAAATACATCACATTTTTGCTCTGTGCTCCTAACCAATAAGAACGTCAGTGTTTTTGATCTGTAATATGGAGTAATAAAAATAATGTATTGTATAATAATGTATAAGATCCATTCCCATAATTTCTGCAGTGATACATACTTATATATCTAATGTGGTTTCTGGCATAGTATAGGTTTCTGAGAAGTTGCTGCTGCCATTATTAGAAAGGAAGGGTTATATATACATGTAAGGGTTCTGAAATCCTCCAGCCATAACTTATTTGGGGGGGGGGGGACATCTTGTTGACAAGGCAATTCATTAAGATTGGAATGTTAGTGTTTTGTCATGAAGAAGTGGGGGATGAAGGGCCCAGGGAAGGAATTCTTGGTCAAGAAAATGTGGGAAATACTGTGCCAAACAGATCTAAAAGATAAAGTCTTTACCTTGATAAGATGAATTTATTGGGGGCTGTTTGCTTGTTTTTTCGTTTGTTTTTTAAACATCTCATACTCTATTTTTGGGAAACATGCCTTGGAACATGAGGACTGCCATGATTTTATCCCCTTATTTCAGGTTCCTTTCTAGGAAATGGCTTGAGGGGAGCAATAAGCATGTATCAGTAGCTACTTGGGACTGATTGATTTATAACAGGGTTACTGGGGATGTTGGCTCATGACCGTCTGTTTTATATACAGTTCATCCCCAGACCTCCGATTCAGTATGGCTCTGTGTGATCAGGAGAAAGCTTTCAGACAACAGAGAAAAGAAAACATAAAGGAAAACATGAAGAAACTCTTGGGTCCAGAGAATAGTGAAGGCTTATGTTCTACACGTGATGTGAGTTGGAAACATTTCAAATGTTATTATAATTTAATAATAATGTTGTTTGTACTCTCTCCCAAATTTCACCCAAATATGAACATATTAAGATGGATTGAGCATTGTATCTTCAGTTTTTTAAGATAAGATGTTTCATAAATACAAATTCTTTGAGGAAGATCATCACAAATGCTGCCTGTATTTAGTAATATTAATCAGATCCAGTTTTAAAAAGTTGCAGAGACATACTTATGCACAAACAAGATACTTATTAGTTTGAAAAGTTTAGCCTCAGATGGAAAAGGCTCATTGAATTTATTTTATTTTTATTATTTTTTAATTGAAGTATAGTTGGCAGTGTTACATTCGTTTCTGCTGTACAGGATAGCGATTCAACCAGTCTATTGGTTATGCTGTGCTTATTGCAAGTGTGGCTACTATGTGTTACCATACAATGTATCACACAATACCATTGACGATATTCCCTGTGCTGTACCTTTCATTTCTGTGATTTATTCATTCCATAACTGGAAACTTATATCTCCTACCCCCTTCATCCCTTTTGCCCCTTCCTCCAACCCCTTCCCTTCTGGGATCATTGAATTAACTTTAATATAGACTAAGATGAAACAATTGTGGGGATGGTCATTATCAAGCCAGAAGAAAGTGTTACCAAACTTGTTAATGATAAAAAAAATTAACAAAAATAGGTAGATGTGAATAAGGAAGATAAAAGGAAATGTTTCAGACTCTTAATATTTCATAGCAGGGAGTTAAAAGCTATCATCTCAGATTGACCAAATAATTAAGAATAATGACCTCCACATTTAATGTTTTTCGTAATCCTAATTATAAGGAAATCTTAAAATATTTTTGTGAACAAATTATGGAAGTACAATCCTTCATTTGTACTTCTTTTTCTTCCCTTAAGTTCCAGTAAAATAAATACCACTTATTATTCAATATCTTGTAACATAAAAAACATTTTTGGCTACTTATCTGTTCATTTGTGCCTTCACTGATTACCTATCTACCTACTTATACATCCATCCAACCATCCAACCTTCCATCCAACCATCCATCCATCCATCCGTTTATCCATTGGTCTATCCTTCTGTCTGAAATCTATAAAAATAAATTGCTGCTATAGTTAATACTACTGTATTACATATTTGTAAGTTGCCAACAGAGTAGATCTTAAAAGTATCACAAAATATAACCATGTATGAGGATGGATGTCAAGTAGACTTATTGTGGTGATCATTTCACTTTACATAATCATTATGTTGTACACACCAAAACTAATGAAATGTTATATGCCAATTATACCAAAAAAATTTTTAATTGGTGCAGTGATGCTCAACAGATGATAATGATGAAATTTCTTCTTAGTGACATGTTGTGCAATTTTTTACTTACTTTTTTGAGCTTCTCTGTTAACTAAATATTTTAAATAAATTATTTTAGAAAGATAATATTTTTATTAAATGCATAAGTAAATATATGCTTTAATACATGCATATAAATGGACATACACATATATTTACATGTATATGTATATGTACACACTCCATACATGCACATATAAACCAGGGATTCAAGATTCTTGTAATTTAAGGGCAAAATATAATTGGAAATGAGACATAAAGTATGAGTGAGGGAGCCAGTTGGCCACCCCTATCCCATATGTGACTGTGAATTTCCAATTGTGTTATTAGGTGGGTACAGAGGTGTTTGAAAGCCAATCTGCTGCTGCTGGAATGGCTTTTTTTGTTACAAGAGCAGACTTTATGATAAAGGGTTGCCTATAGGGAAATTTTGCTTAAAGGAAGCTTGGAGGAGATGCAAAACCTCTATTGAGGGGATCCCTGGGTGGCGCAGTGGTTTGGTGCCGGTCTTTGGCCCAGGGTGCGATCCTGGAGACCCGGGATCGAATCCCACGTCAGGCTCCCGGTGCATGGAGCCTGCTTCTCCCTCTGCCTGTGTCTCTGCCTCTCTCTCTCTCTCTCTGTGACTGTCATAAATAAATAAATAAATAAAATAAAATAAAAAAAAAACCTCTATTGAAATTTCTATTAAAAAAAAACAGACTTACAGATTTCATATCAGCTATCCATCTTGCTTGCCACTATACAGATCCCTCATAGCACTTGTGGTTGATTATTTATTGTCTCAGGTTAATTTGAAGATACTTTCTTCTCTACATATTATTCAGAAGTTTCTAGCTCCCTGGGAAATGTTTGTTTTTTTGTCGTTAATGTAAAGTAAACCTTCCAGCAACACTTATATCTCCTTCTTTTTATCCCCATCATTGTTTGATATTGTTAATACCCTTGGAGCAGAGAAATGACATTTCAATTTTTTTTTCATTGCTGCCATTTGTCATTTGTTGAGATACTGCTAAAATCTGGCAATGAGCAAAGCTGAGCAGTTACTTTCCTTGGTGAGTTTAAAGCCTAGTTGAGGAGAAAAACACTTGAGCAGATAATACAGTGATGGGTTAAGTTCTTTTTTTTTTTTTTTAAGAGTCATGAATAGAAGGATATAAGAGCTTACAATAGAGTTACCCACTCTTTCTTTGTGGTAGAGAGATGGCGATGGGGTTCAGGACTCACCTGCCCCAGTATATGGCACCCCAGCATATTGAATATCTCAAGCTGAAGGAGTTTGAGAAGACTGCAGAAGCAGGAAGCTCTCTCCGACCTCCCACTCTTCTCCCCTGCAGCAGGTCTTAAGACCCTCATGCAAGAGGTGCTCTCCCCAAACCTGTACAAAAAGAGCATCCTTATCTCCAAAGATATAGAGATTCCAAGAAGAATCTGAACAGACAGGTCTTGCTAAATATCCTCCAGTTCTCTACACTTAAATTCATACACTGGCTTATCTGATTTCTATATGATCACCCATTCTTCATCAAACCTAGCTTTAAAAATACTCAGATGTAACTATTTCTTTGGGTATTCATTCCCTTAACTTACCTTAAATAAATATGCATGCTTTTCTCCCATTAATGTCTCCTGTTAGTTTAATTTTCAGACCCAGCCAGGGACCTAAAGAGAGTGGAGGAAAACCTTTTCTTCCTCTACAATGGCAAGTCCTCCTAGAATGGAAGACTACTGGTCAAGCCTTGAGGAATGAGTTTGCTAGAAAAGAAAAAAAAAGCAGGAAATGGATATCTCTGTTAATTCCCAGATGTCAGCTTCATTTGAGAGACTCTGTCTTGCAATCTCAGTTTTTCCTTGCCTAGCTGCTTTTCAGTTGTTTCCAACAATTATTTCTTTCACTCCCAGCCACTGATTTACCCTGTTCCCCTCACACCTGTTTGACTTGCTTCCTAATCAAAGAGAGATCAACAGACATTAAATGACCAAGCCTTCCTTTCTTGCCAGAAGATTGCCATGTTCCATAAGCTATGCTATCCTTTGTTTCTTCCCTCTTGAATTCCATGGAGCAAACGGCCCCTTTTCTTTCAAATGCAGATCCACATCAGAAATGGATTGCCAGCCCCAACTAGGAACCCTAGTATGTCAATCATCTAGTCTTCCCAGGACCACTCTTGTCCCCTGAACTTCTCTGCCTCTATCTCTATATGAAGTTTTACTGTAAAAATATAAACTCTGACATGAAGGAGAAAAAAGGAACAATCACAAAATCTCCCTGGAATGTACCTTCCCATCTCCTGCCTCTCCACTTCCCAATCCTTATGTTCACAGACTTCTCCAAGTTTCCTACACCATCTTATCCTCTTCCCTCCCTTTCTCAGGCTTCTGACCTCGTTATTCTAATGTAGCTACCCCACCAATCGCTCATACTAATAAGTGCAAAAGATCTGGCTCTGTCTCCCCCAGCTCTGTGGGTGCCAACAACATATTTCCCTACGTTGTGAAACATTCTCTATCCTTCACCTACTGCTTTGCTACCTGCCTCCCTGGTGCCCTGTGGCAGATCTCGCCTTGTGCATTCTTTAAATATACAAGTTCTTCACCTTAGGCCCTCTTCCTCTTCATTAGAGGGAGAGGAAGAATTGTCTTCTTCTTAAGAATTGTCTCTCCCTTCCATGATGTCACCCAGCACCCACGTCCAAAGAACTTTCTGTGTCTATCAACAACTTAGAACCCCCTTCTGAACTTCAGGCCTGAATGTCTGTGCACCTACTTGATTTCTTCACTGGTATCCCTCACATCTCAAACTCTGCACGTCTAGAGCTGGACACAGCACCTTGGTTTCTGTCAGTCCACTTATGCCTGTATGCCTGTCCCCCCAACCCCCACCTTCTGTTTACTTTCAAACCAGAGCTTAAAATCCTTCCACTGCTCACCAGCATCTGTCTCAACTCAGTTTTTGCCAGATCATTCCCAGGTCACCACACTCCTTCAGTGGGTGCCTCTTAGCTCCATGTCTCCTCAGAACCCTTGCCCAGTTGGTGCCTTTCCCCACACTGTTTCTCCTCCCTGTAGCATGCTTCCCCTGTGCCCACCCTCTCCCCACTCCACCTGCTTTTCAGGTAACCAGCACCCTCCCTCCCGTGCTTTGAGCAGTACATATGTAGCTGCTTCTGAGACTGTCACCCTGACCAACTGCTCCCTCTTCTCCCCCCATGTCTGTTAAATCTCAGTTATATTCTCTGTGGCATAAATATGGACATTATCTGCATTGACAACACTAGTACTTAAAAAAAACTTGGCCAGGTATTCATTTAATATTGGTTTTCTGCAGCAGAATATAAGCTTCATGAAGATCAGGACAGTGTCTGGTTTTTTACTTTTATATCCCTGGCAGCTGGCATAGCTGCTGGCACATGGTAGACCCTCAGCAGATCTTGTGTTGAGTGAGTCAGGGCACAGATTCGGGTGGGAGCTTGGCGCTGCTTCCAGGGAATGAATTAGCTAGAGAGAGGGATGAGGAACTCAGAACTGAGAAATACAGTATCGGGTTGGTAGGGAGGAGACACAGGTTGAGGAGAAAAGTTTGGATGAAAAGATCCCAGTTTGAACTGTTCCACTCGAAATGTATGTGTG